AAAAAAAAAAAAAAACAAACAAAACAAAACAAAAAAAACTAAAAAAATTAAAAAAAAAAAGAAAAGAAAAGCAGCAGGGAATAGTGTCAAAAGTCTTTAATTCCAGCACTCAGGAGCCATAAGCAGGTGAATCTCTGTGAGTTCGAAGCCAGCTTGGTCTACAAATTAAGTTCTAGGACAGCCAAAATTACACTTAAGCATCCTGTTTCAGGGGAAAAAAAGGAAAAGAAGAAATGAAAAGCAGAAGGGCTGGTGTTTTTAGAAAACTACTTGTGTTTTCCAAAAAGTAAAAGCATGTACTCCCAAATCCAATCCAGTTACTTAGGCCAGCAGAATGGGTATTTTTGATTGGGACCTATAATTAATTACACCTATAACTCCAGGTACTTAAGGGTTGAAACAGGAGGGTCACACGTGGGATCTGAAAGTATGAGAATACTAATGATAAGGAAGATGAGAATCCATTTGAGCATCCTGTAATTTGGGGACACACACTACATATTCTTTTCAAAAGTCGTTCCAACATGCCAAAGAATTTAAAAAGTATTTAACACTAAGATTTACTTCATACTTTCCAATTTAAAACATTAAGGACATTGTCTAATTGTTCCTCTATTTTAGTTTTCAATGTTTCTGTTTTCAATTATTCTCTTCTAAGTACGTCTTAAAAACAAATGCCATTTTGTTTAATGTTTTGCATGGATTTATTTCACATCAAAGGGGAGTTACACTCCTCAGGCATTCAAGACTTAATCTCTCAGTAGTGTGTGTACTATTGGCTCCTAAAATCAAGGTATTTAAAATCTTTGTAGAGCAGCTACACTGTACTGATGAGTCCCAAAAAGGACGAAATAGCAGGTTGCGAAGCATCTCTTGAGCTCTTCATCTCTTCCTTTCCTCCATGTTCTATTCAAAAAATACTTTTATATCTACTTCTTTTTGTATTTATTACTTGTGCTTAAGGATACATATATATATACCACCTGAGCTGGCAGAGATTAGAAGGCATCATCACCCCGAAACTGGACATGTAAACTCATGTTGGTTTTGGGAATGGATCAATGGGGAGAGCACAGACAATGATGGGTAGTGTCATTCCTTGGACTGGTGGAACTGAGTTTTATAAAAAAAAAAAAAAAAAGCAGTCTAAGCAATCCAGGGGGGAACAAGACAGTAAGAAGCATCCCTCTGTGCCTTTGCATCAGTTCCTGCCTTTAGGATCTTTCCCTGTTTCATTTCCTATCCTGACTTTCTTCAATGATGGACTATAATGACGAAATACAAGCCAAATAAATCCTTTCCTCCCCAATTTGCTTTTTGTCATTGTGTTTTGTTGCAGCAATAGAAGCACTATCAAAAGTCCTTTGGGTAAATCTCCAGAGTGGCAGAGCTGGACCATGTAGTAGCTCTATTTCTAGCTTATCGAGGAAATTCCACATAGATTTTCATTGTAACTACACCAGATTTCAATTCACCATCAGTGTCATTTATTGTCTTTTGAGATTAGCCATTTTACCTAGGATGAGATGAAAAACTTCAAAGTAGTTTTAATTTCCATTTCCCTGATTACTAAGTATGTAAAATATTTTTTAGAAATGTTCCTCAGTTATTTGTATTTTATCTTTAAAGTACCTAGATAAAGGTTGTTTGTTCTTTGGTATTTAATTTTTTTTTTTTTTGATTTTTCGAGACAGTGTTTCTCTGTGGTTTTGGAGCCTGTCCTGGAACTAGCTCTTGTAGACCAGGCTGGTCTCGAACTCACAGAGATCCGCCTGCCTCTGCTGCCTACCGAGTGCTGGGATTAAAGGCGTGCGCCACCATCGCCCGGCTGGTATTTAATTTTTTGAATTCTTATAATCTAGATAGTAAACCTCTGTCAAATATGTGGTCAATGAAGATATTTTTCTCATTCTGTAGCTTGTCTCTCTTCCTGAGTAATAGTATCCTTTGCTGTGCAAAACCTTTTTAGTCTCAAAAGGTCTCATTCATTAATTGTTGATCTTAAAGCCTACACTACTGTGACCCTACTCAGAAAGTCACTTTCATGTCAAAGGATGCACATGTATCACCCACCATTTTTTCTCATCAGCTTCAGAGTATCAGATCTTATGCTGAGGTCCTTGATCCATTTGGAGTGAGAGAGAATCAAGTTTCATTTTTCTACATGCAGTTATCCAGTCTGACTAGCAACATTTGTTGAAGATACTATATTTTCTCTAATGTGTATTGCTAGCCTTTCTTTTAAAAATCAAATGACTGTAGAAATGTGGGTTCATACGCAGCTGCTATCCTATTCTATCGATCAATAGGTTTGGTTTTATGCCAGCAACATGCTGTTTATGCTGTTTTTATTACTATAACTTGGTAAGATAACAAGATCTGAGATGGTAAAATCTCTAGCAAATTTTTGTTTTTTAGGATTTTTTAGGTTATCCTGGATATTTTGCATTTACATATGAAATTTAATATTATCTTTACAATTTTTATGAAGAATCATAGTGGAAATTTGGTGGGGATTGTATTGAATCTGTATATTATTTTTAGTAAAATATCATTTTCACAATGTTAATTCTACCAAAGCACAAGCAAGAGAGCTTTTCCAATCTTGTATCTTCAATTTCTTTCTATGTTTTTTTTTCTCCGTTTTGTTTTGAGACAGAGTTTATTTATAGCTTTGGAGACTGTTCTGGAACTAGTTTTTGTAGACCATGTTGGCTTCAAACTCACAGAGATCTGCCTGTCTCTGCCTCCCTAGTGCTGGGATTAAAGGTTTGCACCACCAAGGCCCAGATTCTTCTATATCTTAATGTTTTCACTTACATGTCTTCCTTTCTTGGTTATATTCATTCAGAAATTTTTATTTTGAGGCTATTATGAAAGATATTTTCTTCATAATTCTTTTAGTTTGCTTTTTATTTGTATATAAAAAGGCTACCAATTTTTGTATGATAGTTTTGTATCAATGTATTGATCTAATACTAAATATAGTGATCAAATCTAGAGAATTTCTGGTGGAATATTTTAGCCTTTTGCACAGTATCATATCATCTGCACATAAAGGCACTTTTACTACTTCCTTTTCCATTTGTATCTCCTTCAGTTGTCTTGTTGCTCTAGCTAAGATTTCAAGTACTGTGGAATACGTATGAAGAAAGTGGACGTTCATGTCTTGTTCCTGACTTTGATGGAAATGTTTTCAAGCTTTTCTTCATTTACGATAATGTTGGTTGAGGTCTTTCTATTTATTACCTTTATTATGTTAAGATATTTTTCCTGTACCCATAGTGTCTCCAAAATCTTTATTATGAAAAAACTTTGGATTTTGTTTGAGGTCCTTTCCGCATTTAATGAGATGATTATATGGTCTCTATCTTTTAAGATAATTACATTTATAAATTTTTCTAAAGCCTTCAGATGAATCAATGAGTTATTAATTTGAGATTTCTTCACATTTTTTATATATAGGCATATAGTGAGTTAAGTTTTATTCTTGAAATTGCCTTATGTTTTTTTCATTTTATTCACTTCTGGGAATCCATAAATGCTTAATTTTCATTCTTGTTTTTTTCTTTCCATGAATTTGATTCAGTAGTGTGTTGTTTAGATTCCATGAATTCATGTTCTTTTTTGTTGATGTGGAATTTTAATACATAGTTGCCAGATTAAATGCAAAATGTAATTTCAATTTTCCTATATTTGCTGAGACTTGCTTTGGTTCTTTAGGTTATGAGTACTAGTCTAGACCCTTGTGTTTTTTATAGTCACCATTAAAAATTCTGCTGTTATTATGATGAGTCTGCCTTTGTATATGACATAATTTTTCTGGTTGTTTTTTAATATCATTTTGTTGCTGCTGTTGTTGTTGTTCTGAGCATGTAGCATTTTGATATGATGAAAGGTATAAATGTAGGCTTTTCTGTCTGGTCCTGCAGTCAATTTTAAATTAACCACTCAGGGGCCCAATATTAATTACAAATTGATGTATTGCTTAGATATATTACTAACTAGCTCTTACAACTTAAATTAACCCATTTCTATTCATCTATATTTTGCCACCTAACTTCCAGGCATTACCTGCTGTCTAGTACATCTTGTTGTTCCAATAGCTTGCTGGCATCTCCCCCTGAAATCTGCCCTTCTTCTCCCTGTATCTCTGCTTGGATGTCCAGACTGGCACTATCCTGCCTTTCTATAGACCAAATTATCTTCTTTATTAACGAATGGTAATAAAACATATTTACAATTTACAAATGGGTTATCTCATAGTAGAGGTCAGTTTTTTTTTCTAGTCATATCTGCTTGGTGTTCTATATTTCTGTCAGATCTTCATAGGCACCTCTTACTTCAGGCTAAGAAAGTTTTTTTTCCCCTATGATTTTGTTTCAAAAATCTTTTGCACCTTTGACCTGTGCCTCCCCTTCTGTACCTAGTTTTTAT